TATATATATATAAATATATATATATATATATATATATATATATATATATATAATGGAAATTCTATAGATGCATGGTTTTGAAGAAATCACATTCTTAGGTTTTTTGTTTTTTAATCTTATTATCCTTTGCCCTTTTTGGAGGGTGATGATAACCTTTTGCCATCCTAATGGCTTTCTAAAATAACCTTGCCCCTAGATGATCAGGAAAGAGAACAAGGGAATGAATCTCTAATTAAGTTCGTTCTTTTCAATTATTGACATCAGTTTAACACTCAAGTATAATTTTTCTATGTTTTATATCTCAAAAATAGCTTTTGGTAGCAAGTGAATCCAGAAAGCATATCTCACTAATTCATAATCCAGATTTCTGGTTTTTGTACTGTGGTTGGATCCCATAGAGCTACTTGAGTAATTTCTAGAATTCCATTCATGGAAGTTCATTAATATATTATATCACAATCAATGGAGATATAACTTTGGCATATACAACAACAACAACAACCAAGCCTTTTCCCACTAGGTGGGGTCGGCTATATGGATCAAACGACGCCATAGGGATCTATCATAAATCATCTCTCTTGATAAGGCATTGATCTCCATGTCCTTCATCACTGTTTCCCCTATAGTTTTCCGAGGCCTTCCTCTCCTTCTAGCTCCAACAGTAGCCTCTATCTCATCGACCCTCCTCACTGGTGCGTCAGCCGGTCTCCTCCACACATGCCCAAACCATCTAAGACGGGACTCAACCAACTTCTCCACAATAGGTGCTACCCCCACACTTTCTCGGATGCATTCATTTCTAATCCGATCTTTTATCGTGTGTCCGCACATCCACCGTAACATCCTCATCTCGGCTACATGAAGTTTATTCTCTTGTTGCCCCTTTGCGGCCCAACACTCGGTCCCATATAATAAAGCCGGCCTAACAGCAGTACGGTAGAACTTTCCTTTAAGCTTACGAGGCACCTTTGGCATATAGTTCTTGTGAAATCAGATCTTATGAAGCATGCAAGAAATTTAGTAACTTCTTTAATGTTGTTTGTTCAGGGGCCTGGTTGGGTATAGGAGTGTGTTTAGCAGTGACACATGTGGAACTGGATTCATGCATCGTGCTTTCCTTGGTATGCATTATCGGCTTAAGATTAATATATTTTTCATCCAACTGGAATGTAATAATTCCAATTTTCAACTTGTTCGCAATTCTTTGCCAATCATGTTGTTTAATTGCCCCATTAGGTTTTGCTTATTTAATGTTAGCAAATCTTTATGCCTGCTTATTTTACTTTCCACACTTTGTTTGATTTGCAAAACATCGTAGTTTATTTTCTAATTGAATAACTACCTTATACTATTTATTTTGTAGTACTCATAATTCTTGAAGATGCAACTATAGTGATTCTGGTAGTGGCCGGAGAGTTACCCATCCCTAAAATATGAATGTGCTTTTATAATAATTTTAAATTTATTAAAATAAAAAAATGTATTGATATTATGTAAAATGAAGTGGCGATTTAAAACTATCAGAAAAAAGACATTTTTTTTTGGCGATTTAAAACTGTTAGCATATGTAAATAAGAAAAAAGAAAATAAATTTTGTGGCGGTTTAAAATCGCTAGAAATGTTAAATTAGGAAAAATTTAGATGAATTTTGTGGCGGTTTTAAATTGTCAAAAATGTCAAACAAGTCAAACACAAAAGCATTTTGACGGTTTTACACCGCTACAAAGAGATCGCTACAAACAGTTTTTGGCGATCGTAGATCTAACGGGTATTGATGACGCCGGTAATGCATTTGTGGCGGTTTTTAACAGACAGAAACTACCAAAATAACCGTAGTCTATCCTTCACTTTCATTTAACTAAACACTATGAAAATAATTTGACTTATATGTTAAGTCAAAATAATTTTTTTTTACATAAATATTCAACAAAAACTCATGTTATTGTCACCTTTTATTAATCATTATGTTATTGATGTAAAATATTTATTAACTTTATTTATAATTAATTATTTTTAATGGATGCTCCTTAGCATAATCATGTTTTTTTTCTTCTATTTATAATATATGAAAAAATTGAAATTTTGTTAAGATTATATTTGGACCAATAATTAACTCTAATATATTAAACACAAATCTTTATCTTATACAAAAATATTTTTAAAATAATTTCTTCGATAAGAAAGTTTGTAAAAATTTTTTTTCTAACTTTTTATCTAATTCAATTTTTATTTATCATAATTATTTATGGATTACAAAACATGTCTTTTGATTCTGCTTCCTCATGTGTAATCACAATATTACCTTAAAATGGATCATCTGGTGGTGGCATTGATAAAGTACTTGGAGTTCTTCTGTAGATAGACAAAGGCCTAGTTACTCACATCTTTCTTTTTTCTTACTTTCTGAATTCAATGAGTGTGTCAAAGAGTCACAATTCAAATTGAAACCAATGGAGAATTTATCAGTTTCAGTTCCTTATGAATGAAGATATGGAAATTAGAAGACACATTAAAGTTTTATAACGATGATGTATCAATTATTAATTAGAGCGCATGCAATTTTCATGTCACTTTTTTTAAAATATTATATCAGTACAAAATATCTATCATCAAAAAGTAATAAACTAATCTCTGTTAGAAATTATGAATACACAGAGGAGTTATATTTCTCTCTTAAAATAGTTTATTTCATGACCAAAATTGAAATTCGAATCCACTACAATAAAATACTTTTAGTGACATTTAATATGACTTTTAGTGACATTATAAATTGTTTCAAAATCTTTTATCAACATTTTTACATCAGTCATTGTAGGTAGTGTTACTAAAATATTTAGCAACAATTATTCTAAATGCTAGTAAAAACTCTTATAATGGTCGAAAAAATGTATAACTTTTATGATATTTTTTATTTTCTAGTCGATGTGAGACTTGTAAGATGAATACAAATAATCTTTAATTACTTTATCTCTAGTCGATGTGGGACTTGTAAGATGAAAGTTGTCTTTTATTTATATATATTTTTTAATTATCTTATCAATAGTCTAACTCAACCCTATAAAATAACTTATAATGTGAGAGTTATCGATCATTTATATACTCTTTAATTATCTTATTTCTAGTCGATGTGAAACTAAAGTTTTTCTTAATAAATAATTATCGTTAATAGTAAATTTTGGTGTGATATAAATACATTTTTAGTGACAATTATATATTAGTCATTAATACTTTTATTAAATAATAAAATAAAAACAATTAATTTATTTTCGTTAAATAATTATCGATAATAATAAATTTTTTTATAGTTATCCTAAATAATTCAAGCCACTACCACTTATACTAACTAATGTTATTTTCATATGCCAAATTAAGCTATAAACAATTTGCAGTACTAAACTTTCATGAAAATTGATCTGCTACACTACACGTTTTAATCGGTAAATATTAAAGAGAAAAATGATTAAAGAAAAAAAAAAAAGATAAGATAAGATAAGAAAAAACGCTGCTTTTACTTTAATTTAATGTTGAGTTTCTTTTATTTTCTTATTGTTTTTGATAACATGTGCCAGGAACACAAAAATCAACTGTATTAGTGAACAAAATGTTGTTGTTTACACATAATTGATAGCCAAAATTGCATAATGGCCGTGTTTACATTTGAAATTAAAATGTTTGAGAATTATTATTGAGATATAGTCAAAAGTAGTTATTTTGTATTGTTCAGGTGTAAACTAAAACTGATATCTTACAAATATAAATATATATATATATATATATATATTATAATTATC